CCCTTAGAGGTTAGGGGAGCAGTAATTACGTCGGTGGCTCAACACTCTCATGATTGTGCTCCTTCCACACTTTGGAAAACCTGTAAAACGAGTGCAAACGCGGACCGATGTTATTGGTTGGAAGCCCAAGAAACATGTTATTTTGAGGAGAACACTCTTCGTTCTCGCTGGGTTGAACTTTAAGTAATATTACCATGCCGAGGGTAGCGCTCGGGATTCCTCCATAAAGCGACTAACAAGCAAGTAAATGTTGTATGTCAGTTCGTACCTGAAAGTCCCTCTGACACTCCAGCGCGAGTTTTATCATATCAAGTGGATCCATTGGTTGACGCAGTAGCTCTTGCGAGCTCTCCATAGCGACAAAACGATCAAAAAGAGAAGGATCTTCGCGAGAAAAGAAAGCAGTGAGAACTCCAATTTCATTAGCTGCTTCACAACTCTGCAAGTAAAGAGCAACATTTGCGTGTTCTAATATTATGGACAGAAACAGTGAGCAACAGTGTAGGAAACTGACCAATTCGAGCGTTTTTGAAAAGAATACAACAAAGTTGCACAAAGTTGTAAGCCTCATGGTAGTGTGCTGAATATGTCGCGTTTTCTGTGCCAGAATGCTGAAGTGACCATAATTCAACCTCTTTAATTACCATACATGAAAGGCCTGATGACTACTCGATTCGTCTTACTCAGTTTACTCACACAATCAAAGGAAAGTCCTCTGAACAAAGGCAGCGAGGTGGAGTCATTTCTCTTAGAGTCTGCGAGACAAAATAGAGAGATGAGGGGCTAGACATCTGACTGACACTTCGCAGAGTCTGCCTTATAAAAGTTCCTGAAATACAGGAGCAACGGTAAATGGGCCAAAATTGATATTGAAACTTTGAGTAAGCACCCTTTACCGGCATCATCTAGTGAGGTGGAAATCCCTTGAAATAAACTTGTTAGAAACTCCATGAATGACTTCAGCTTTTGACGTTCTAGAAGCCGCCAAAAAGGATCATTTGAATCAAGATGCTTCAGAAGTACAGAGAAGAGGAACTAAAAAAAATAATAAAATAAAATAATAAAATAAAATAAAATATTATCTCTTGCATTGCAAAGCGGCACGGAAAAGTCTAACAGTCACGTCACGAAAAAAAACTTGCAGCGTCAAGATCCAAAGCCATAAAACTTTGGTTTAACTGCTACCAGTTTCTCTAGTGCCCATAATCGCACCCAACCATTTGAGTGAGCGAGTGCTCTTATAAATAAAACCTTTGCCCATTTAAAAGTGTTAGTGAATGCGGAATAAACAGATTGCAGCACGATATCCAATTGGGGTAGCACAGGATTCAGTATGTGAAACTAGAACAAGATTCCTGAATCAGTTGTAGCGTTAAAACTTTGACAACAGACAACCCTCGGAGAGTGCGCGAAGGAAAGTATACATATCGATCCGAAGAGTACGCGCTTGCGCGGAATCGGTGGCGAAAACTAAATGTACCGCTTGACTCCAGAAAGTAGCGTTTTCGGCGAATGCAGTGGGGCTTAGGCTGCATTCATACTTTGCGTTAGTGTCCATCAGCGTCCAGGCCGCTTCAAGCGCATGCCAGGGCCAGTGACTAGGAAAGCATAGATATCGATATAGCGAACGCTAGCGTCTGCCAGCGTTCACCAGTGTACAGCAGCTTTTTTGCGGTCAGTTTTGCTTAGTATCAAAAGTGCACCGGAAACGCTGCTGTACGCTGTTGGATGCTAGATCGATAGCTACACCTCCGTAGTCCCTCGAGACGCTGGTGGACGCTGGCGTTCGCTAGATCGATATCTATACATTCTAGTCACTGGCGTACACTTGAAGTGGTAGTGGACGCTGGTAGACGCTGACGCAAGTATGAACGCCGCCTTAGAGAAGGCGATTATAGAGCACGGTTTGCTAGTAGGTGAGTCAACCATTTAACCTTCGTCACAGACTCCCCCGGACCAGCCCTCTTCCAAGTCGGCTATTCTCCACATTCGCCGGGTAACGACTCTAATTGAAAGGGTTTCATGGTCAAGCAGACCGAACAAAACTAATCCCGTTAAATAACGATCCTGCTGGTACCCTAGTTTATGAAAATCACTAACTTGTGGCTCTTCCAAGCACTGAGCTAATGTGAAGAAATTAAACCAGACTGGATTCCCTTGCGTGAGAGTTTTAAGACATGAAATAGCAGCTTTTCGGGCAGATCGGGATGAGTTTGCATCTGAATAGTTGCCCATACACTATTGTACTTTCGTTTTCATTTCCAAACCTCGATTCTACGACAATTACAAATCCAAGCACCTGTTAATGTGAGCCGAGCCAGATCCATCATCTGTTCTTTCATACCGTTCGGACATCTTTCAGCTAGCAAACACAGCGATGGCAATGCAAGTTCGAGCTCATCTCCACTAAGAGTACCATATAGCCTGGAGAACAGTAACGTTTAACCCTGGCATATCTCAATGTATATGAAGTAGATTTACGATAAGTGACAAAAAAGGAACATACGTGATTATGTCGGCAATATCTTCTTCGGTATGCACTT